TGAATGTCATACTCGTCATCGCTCTCCTGCGAGGCGATGAAGGGCTACCTTTCCACCTTAACCTTATGCGTAATTCTGACCATGACTCGTGGTGCAACCGTCCCTGAACCTTAAACCCTAAAGATCCTCCTCAAAAGGTGGTACCTTGAGTTTGAGGAACCCCTACTCAATATGGGGGCCTTGACGAATAAATTGGAATATGGTTTTGGGCTAGTTATGTTGTAATCATATAAGGCCACAGAAGATGTCATGTTCCATTTTTTACGAGCCCAGTAGTGCCATGTATGGTGTCCTCCTCTCCGCGGTCGAGGTGCCAGCCTTTCCAACAAGAGCACGGACATCTTAAAGACTTGAAGTGCCTCCATATACGGTATTGACTCGTGCACACCATTTTTTTTTGGATTTTGGCCTTTCACCTCGCTAGGACAAGCCCGCATTGCAGTGGTCAGTTGAGAGCATTAGAAGTCTGCACGATAAAGCTTCGCATGGCCATTGCAAAATTCATCAACTCTATACATGGCTGTTGCAGCACCCGAAGCATCAATCAGCTCGAAGCCGCTTGTCGACTCAGAGCCACGTGATCCAGCTCAATCCGACACAGGCCGCTCAGTTTCCTTCTGGAAATCATGACAATGCAGTCTACCATTACAGACAAAGAGGCACTCACTCAAGGCGTCGCCTTCAAGTCCAGAAATCAAACCCTATACACCACAAGAAGGTTTAGACGTTCGACTCTACGCCTGGCGGGTTTCACATGAGTCTCAGGCTCCACTAGTATAGGGCTTAGAAGACATACCTGGAAAGCCCCAAAGCCTGAAGCTCCAAGTGCTGGGACCCTGAAAAGCCGCCACCCCGCCTGACCCACGTAACAACAGCACACATGTGCATATGTGGCGTACTGTGCGTGTGTGTCTGTATTTGTATGTATGTGTTTGTATGTATGCGTTTGTGTGTATGTGTTTGTATGTATGCATGTATGTGTGTATGTGTGTATGTATGTATGCTCGTATATGCATATGTGCGAATATGTAACATAGGTTCATATATATATATATATATGCACATATACAAACACCCACATATACATGTACATATTTTTGGCACTCGCACTCGACAAGCAGGCGTACATGTATATATACATGTACATAAACATATACATGACCTGTACACTCGAATGCGCATATGCACGTATGTGTATGTACATACATACATACATACATACATACATACATACATACATAATCATACATACATACAGACCATGTGCATACCCGCAAAATGCCGAATATGGGCATACATGTTTTGTCATATAGGACCTAGAAAAAAGGGGGAAACGGAGCAACAAAGAGAGAGAGAGAGGGAGGAGAGAGAGAGCGAGAGAGAGACCCATTGTCGGAGCCTTCCGGCGCAGACCAGGCACCCGAGGCCTGGCGTCGAAGCAGGTCCTCGCGAGATCCCGTGGATCTCTGTTGCGGAGCTTTAGGGCTTGAGGTTTTTGAATAAGAGATTGACAAGGTCTGATCGGGCTCTTTGTTGTCAGGGTGGGGTTTACGGTTAAAGGTGTAGGTTGTGAGCCAGATAACACACACAGACACAGGTAGATAAGACAAGGGAAGACAAAGATAAACACAAAATCAGAAACTGTGTGGAGTAGATAGATAGAGATACACGTGCAGGCAACCGCGAACCCGTAGCCTTTGGGCGGGGAGCCAGCTCGGATTTTGTGGGACGATCCAGCCACTGGAGCCAACACACCGCTTGGGCTACTGTTAAAGTGCAAGTGGATGCAACAGTGGAGCTTATTGAGTTGAGACTGAATGCTCTAGGCTCAGCTAAATTTCAGGGTCGGAATTTTCCAGCTTTTCATTGACAGGACCACGTTCTCTCTGTCGCTCGCGCGTCTCGGACTTCCAACTCCTTCCTGCTCCAGGTCACTGAAACTCATAGTTGATGGGCTGGACTTCTCTGCCTGCTGTGATTTCCTTCAACCCTTTTTGAACGAGGTTCCTTCAACCCTGAACCCTGAACCCCACTCAGCACAGCCACAGAATGCTTGGATCTTTGCAACAGCTTTACTGGATACCGCTCCCAGGTGCGAACAACATCTGGCAGCTTGATATCCTAAGACCCTAAAAGCCTAAACCCGAAGAGTGCTAGAGCCCATCAGCCCTTGAAGCCTTGCACCCGAAGAAACCAAGCTGCTTAGGCCAAGCGACTTCTGCCTCAGCAGCCGCAAACGCCTCGCCGAGAAAGGTATGGCTTAGCGCAAGACATCACGAAGGGTTTAGAACTTCTTAACTTCGTGTGCTTGTGGGCTGCTCAGCCTCCTGCATAGCCAGGATGGAGATTTCTGTGTTCAGGGTTTACGATTACTACAGATGGGTTAAAGGTTCAGGGTGTAGGGTTGTTGGTAGTAGTTGCTCTGTTCGCTCAGCTATAGTACAGTGTAGAATGCGGGGCACAGCCGGTTTGGGGCTGGTCGTCCGGACATCGCGAAACTTACAATGATAGCATTGGCAGGGGCTCTTTACCCTCAGCGTATAGCCGGAACAAACAAGCCGTTTGCCTCACACCGCCATTGGTGATGAGATCCATGTCCCGAAGGGCGGACAAAGCAGAATCTCTTCCAAAAAGACCTCAGGTCCCCAACACCCACAGCCACCTCCAACCCCAAAGGTTCAACCCCAAAGCCCTAAAGCCCCGAGACTGCCCTGACCCCCATTGCTTCCAAGGGCCTCATGGTCCCAGCCCCCAGCAGGTTCGCCGTTTGGCCCTTTGTAGGAGCGCTGGCAGCCCCGTTTTGTGTGCAGGATGTTGCGGGAACGCAAACTTGGTGGGCGTTGCTTCGTTGTCTTGGGCAGACCACTTCTCGCTGCAAACCATAGTATCGGGGTTTTAATTGCTGTTGCTGAAATGTCCTCGTATGTTTCTTTGCTTGAACACACAGATGCCACATGCCACGGTGCCTCGCTCGTGAGTCCCTCCCCTGACCGTCTCAGCAAATCCCAATCTCCAGGGGAAACTCCAGAAAGTTGGAACAGCGGTTTAGGATGATTACCGCTGAAACTTTCTGTACTTTGCTGTCTAAACTAAGCGAACCGAGCCCGAAATCCTTGATCATCGCCGGGCACCCTGGGAACAGAGCCCACCTGGCAGCAGATCCCATCGGTTGGCTCTCGCCAGGCCCAGCGCCTTCGAAAGACTAAAAATAAAATATCATAACATAAATGATATATTATGATATACGATACACAATGTATGAGATCTACAAGTAGGGTTTAGCTTCTCTGGAAGTCCCTTTTCATAGACCTCCTGCTTTGCAAGAACGAGACCGCATGGTTCGGAATTTTGGGCTTAGGGTTGAAAGCGAAACTGCCTTCCCTTTTCCAGGATCCGTCTCGACAGGCTCCACTGGAACTCGAAGCCCTAAGCCGTAGGATTTAAATCTCAGAAGACTCTTGGAGGACGTACGGCTGCTCTCAAACAGAAGCTGCTCAAGCTGTTTTCCTCTTCGAGCGAGGGCTGGCAGTTTGCAGAAATGGAGTCATGCCATATAGGGGTGCACTCACGTCGCGATGTCATCTCCCGATAACCCCTCGATCCTCGATGATATCTGACCAGAATATACCAGAATTATCAAGCATTACGCGACAAAGCCAATACGTACTTCAACCGCTCGAGCCCCTGTATTCTGCATGTGGGCGTAGCAAGCGCATTAGGGCCCAATGAATTCGAGAAGCAAATTCGGGATGTAAAGCAGAGGCCATAAACTTGGAAGCTGGGATCCCGGCCTCTTCAGCATCCCAAAGAATTTGTTGCCAAGGTTTCCCCCAGCCGGCAGCGCCGGCCGTCAGAACAGGATGAATGACCACCTTGTGCAGGTGCGAGTGTGTTCGCAAGGCTGCAAGAAGCAACAATAACAGGAAAATGTTTCCTGCTGATCCGGGCCACAGCTTGCGGCTTCGGGCCATGCAAGCGGAAGGCCAGGGTGTCCTGGTGACCCATTGCGTCTCCCAGAACCGGCACGGAAACATAGCTGACCACGCCCTTAGACGACGACCCCACGACCACGACCAGGACGACGGCGAAGGCGACTGCGACGCCAACGACGCCGGCAGCAGCATCACCACCATCATCATCATCATCATCATCTTATTCTTCTTATTCATCGTCATCTTCACCAGCAGCAGCATCATCAGCAGCATCGTTGTTTTTATCTGCATCTTCATCTACTTCATCTTCATCAACAGCAGCAGACATCATCGCAGTCGTCATCGTCACTTGACCTCTGTTTCAAGTGCAGATCTGAAGACGCCTGTGAGTTGCAACTTTTGCTGTGCGATTCCCCAGAGCCTAAGACTTGGTCCTAAACCCCGACCCTGCGTCCTCGTACGAGAAGTGCCGCCGGCCGACAACCGACAACCGCCAAGTGGTGCGGCGCAGGCCAAACACAGCTCGCATTTGGGCTTGAACTTGAGGCTGTCTACGAAATTCAAGCCCCTTATCCGAGTAAAGGTCATCGATGTTTTTGTGTGGGAGATGCCTCCCAGACTGCAGCGAAGCCTGCGGCTTCCTGCTGCAAGCAACGATTCCCGAGCGCGGCTGGGCCTAATGTGATGCAGAGCTGTCATTGCTGTAGGCGTCGGACGGGCATCTTTCGAGCAATGTGTAGTGACACAGGTCTTGTACGAGCCTTGTGTTGACCTGCAGCAGTCTGTCCTAGTGATCCTAGTGCATGCTTCAACTATTGATCCGGAGCAGCGGCGATTAGACCATGGCCATGCCATGCAGCTTGAAGCATGTTCTGTTCACAGGAGCCCTAGGAGGCGAACGACAGAATGAGAATCATCCGAAAAAGGAACAACGGCAATGATAAGCATAAGAACCATGATCGCTGATCTGCACCATCGCTCTGCCTTGCTGCCTGCATTCCTTCTCAACGTCTCCGATAGTTCAATTCCATCCTCGAGCCCCCAAACCCTAAACCCAGCCAGCAGGACGAGCTCCTTTGCAGAATCTTGCCATTCGCCGTGTCTTCCCTGAGGGCCGAAGGAATAGATCAGGGGTCTTGCGGGTTTCGGGCCAAGTTTGGGCTTCAGGCGCTCAGAGCTCTGAGGCACGCGCCAGTTCTGGGCGAGCCTGGCTTCTTTTATGCACTCACAAACATTCCCCGAGTTTAATGCAAGGTGTCGAAACGAGCACCAAGAGCTGTTGACACCGTCAGTGCCCTCTGCTCCCGACGAACAGAGCCAGGAAACTCACTTGCTCCTGCATGCCCCTCCATGCTAATGTTCTCACACGGGCACCACCTTTGCCTATCTATCGCATGACTCTTGCTGCAACCGTTTGGCACCGAGAAACGTTTCCATGGCCAGCCTTCTCAGGACAGTCGTGCGTCTGAACCTTCGGAGTTTCACTCCTTCGTTGCAGATCCGTTTGCTTGTCGGCTGTGGGTGTGCTTTCATTTCACCGTGGCTCATGGGATTCAACCTTGCATATTGACAACGGTTGGATACTTCTGCCATTCAGGACGCGCGCGTTCGGCTGACCAACACTTTTTGCGTCTTCAAAGCGAGTCGCGTTACTCTGGAGATACCTCGTCGGCAACTGCAGGACGATTTTCGCCTATTCAATTTCCGGATCAATGCTGCTGAGCTTCCATGTTTTGGGAAGACGCTTCACCAAAACCGTATGTCGTCCTCTCGTATGTCCATCTAGAGGAGTGAGACACTGCTCCTGAGCTTGCATGGCGAATGAGGTCTGCGGTCTCAGTCTTAGTCTAAGGTACCTGTCGCACCCCATTTGCTCGGACATGCTGAGTGTCTCTCAGGATGCTTACCCAAGTTTACCCGGTGAGCATGACTTTTTTCCGACTTCTGAGGGGGTCCAATTTTCAGGCCGGAGGGCTGAAGCACCTGTGCTTGTGGGGGAAAGAAACTCCAGAAAGGTTTCGTGTTGCTGACAGTACTCACTCCATGCCCCGAGCCCTTAGACGCCCTAAGCCCTTAACCCTAAAAGGCTGCTGAAGCGTCTTTTGCCAAGACTGCACATGCCAGTGCCACTTCAAGTCGGCGGAGACCTGGCTAAGACCTCGGCCGGAAGCAGGGTGGGTGTACATACTAATTAGCGTTTATAATGGTTGCAGTAAGGACTAGATACTGATAACAGTATTCAAACCAGTAATCCTAGCTGAAATATATAAGACTAAAGAACAATCACTATACTCAAAATCATGGTTACACTGTCACATTCTGATAATGCTCGAGGTCCTACTTTTTGCCCGCTTCCGCCGTGCATGGTAGGTTTGCTTCGTTGAAGGACTTGCAAGGCTTTCGGTTGGATCTTTTCCTGACATGACTCGGCCTCGACTGGGGCAAAATTCCTGCATGCCGTGTCAAAACCAAAAAACATCTCAGCGGAGCGCCGCTGCGCGGGGGAGGCTGGAAAGCCGCCTCAGCCTCAGTCACCGACAAACCACCGGCCGCGCTGGGCTTTCCCCTGGGATCCTAGCTGAAAGATTTAGGGTTTACTCATGGAATCGCCAAGGCGAGAACGGTTGATGCGAGGCTGCCACTTCGAGCCTCCTCACGACCTGAGGTTGCTCCGTAGCCGTGAACTAGGTGTTCTTTGTCGGGAATATACGGGACTGTGCCAAAAAAAACAATATTTCTAGGGCATGCACTGCTGGGTGCTCTCCGTCTTCTTATATTGCAGGTGCCGAACCCGTCCCGCTGTTAGGCCAATAGGTCGGCTTGTCATCCTAAAAGGAGCTGCCAATCCTACAGGTCCCTGACCGTACATCTTCCAGATCCTTCAGGACCAGAAACGCTATCCCGAATCTGAAAGTGCCTACACTCCCAACTCCAGCATTCCAAAGTCCGGGATCCAACAAGCACACTACCATCAAACTCGACGATCCTCTACACACACCCTCTCCTCGCAAACTCCAGGTGCTACATCCCAAGATGCGCAGCATCCCCCAGACACTCTCTCAACCTGCTGTTCTGTCAGAATGCTAAACTCTGGAAATTCCGCAACAAATAACCGAACCCAAAGCCCCATGTTGCTAAATCCCGACAGCTGGGAAAACCTATCGCTCTCGACTTGATACCCGCAACCTTAACCACCACACCCTACCCCCCGAAGAAGAACAACCCTAAACTGACACACAGGAGCAAAAGAGCCCTAACCACCCTAATAAACCGTTGAACCCCCCAAACCCTGAACCCCAAAAAACTCTCTGCCTGGTCCTGGTGCCGCTTCTTCATCGCTATCGGGGACGTCAGCAATGGGCGGGCGCCAGAAGTCGAAGCCTGGAGACGTTTCTGCCGGACACGACCACGACAGCAACGCTGCCTACTCCTGCTATCAGAAGACATGGAAGAAGAAGCCGTAGGAGAGGAGCACGGAGCAAGAGATAACCTCCCCCCCCCCGAGCCTTGAGCCATGGCCGGGCATCGGAACTCCCAAGGTTGCGGGGCTCTTGGAAGGGACGTTCGTTCTTCGGGCGTCTTCCGATGCTCTAGTGACTTATATTGAAAGTAGTGTGCTGGGTGAATCTGGATGCGATCGGCTGATGGCATTGTGATCTGATGCCTCTCGGAACCCTGAATCTTTTTGAGCACGGGCTTGGATTGTATGCCGGCAAGATCCCTGAATCTTAAACCTTGGACAGACTCGCAAGTTTGGAGTCTCGCGGATGCTATGGGCTCTTAAGACCTACTGTGCATGTCTACAGCAGCTTCAAGGCTGCGGGGTTCAGAGGGTTTTTGGAAGTCTCTCACTGTTCGGGCCAGCCAGGCGGATGTGTCTCGTCAAGCTCAACTGGTGGATTTGCACAGTTCGTAACATCAAAGATAGAGAGCTTTCCCAAGCCCACATGCTTCCTGATAAAGAGCAAGCATCACCCACTTTCCTCGCCCAACTGTCCTTCCGCGGACATCTTGTGACATGAGGGCGTCAGATAATAGGGGCACCCTGTTATTTAAGGGTCTTTGTTGCAATAGGGATCCCATTAATGGATCCCATTACTTAGGGTTCTATATGAGAGTCCCCTGCTTGCTGAAACTCCCATATCAACACTTCGTGGCACTCACAAGGCCTTCGGCCAAGGAGATGGAGGCAGTGCATATTCCTCGGCTGCTTCTTGGATTTAATGTTCTTTTTTTTTCTGGGGTGCCTCGTATCTGGACCACTACTAGGATTCGGGAACTGCTCCTTTAGAGTCGTTGAGTCTCCGTCGGCATAGCAAAAGAGTCAAGACATGCATCAGTTCAGGATGTGGTTGGCGAAAGTGCCGCAAAGGAGGCTGGGCCGTAATTTTTTGCCTCCTACTTGGGAGTTTCCGAAAACAAGGGGTACCTTATTTTGGGGTCCTATCATAGGGATCCTATTATTTAGGGTACTATATTAGGGTCACCTATTTTCGGAAACCCCCACTTAGCAAGGCCGCAATCAGGAATGAGGGTTTAGGCTGTAGGCTCTCTTCTCATTGCTTTTAGGAAGTTTCGGGCTTAGGTCTATAGGCACACAACCGAACCGCATTACTTCTCGACGCCGGCGACGGCCAGCTTGTTACGTCTGAAATCTTGTAAAGCTTTGAAGCCAGAAGCGAAAACTCCGAGCCCCCAAACCCTGAAACCCCGCCTTCTTCACCCTTAACCCAACACCCGTGCAGGACAACGATGTAAACACGAGGCCGCAATTCCACGAAGTGAAATTATGGTGTTCAGTTTGATATGATATCGCGGCTGAGACTTCCTTGGTATCCTGTTGTAAGCTTTCAACGTCCCGCTGTTCGTGCTCTTCCTAATTGCGAGGATTTCTGCCTGTGGTGTTTTCAAGACATCCAAAGCTCAGAAAGTAAGAGCAGCCAAGATTCGTCTGCCCGAAAGTTGCCTCGAAGGCTGGAAAACGAGGGCCTCCGCTTCTTGCAGCCCGAAGCTTGAAGGAAGTGTCCGGCTTTCGGAAGCCACTTGCTGTCCGCAGCTTGCTGCTGAGCCATGGCCCAAGGCCTAAAACCTTTCCATAGGTTTCCCAGACTGATCGGAGAGTAAGTCCTGTAGTGCTGGCGAAGGTCGTGCGGGGTAGTACAGTAGCAGTGGACAAAGCAGGGGCAGCTTCAGCAGCAGCGGTCGTCGTCGTCATCGACATCCTCATCGTCGCCCTCACAGGAGTGGCAGGAATAGCAGCAGTGGAACTGAGTAGCGAGCCTTTATTTAGTAGTCGATTAAACGAGTCAGTAGTAGCCGTGGTATGATCGGAGTAGTAGCAGCAGTTGTAGCAGTCATCCTCGTAGTAGTAGTCGTCGTAGGAGGAGGAGGAGGAGCAGGAGCAGGCCGGCTGTAGCGGTAGCAGCGGCCGTAGCTGCAGTCGTAGCCGTAGTAGTTAGCTTGGTGTCGTCGTCGTCGTAGGTGCGGTAGAACAGCAGCAGCACGGCATGCTGGCAGTAACGACAGCAAGGGATGTGGTTGGCAGTGGTTGTCATGGCAATAACGATGGCTAAAAGGAGTTGGCGACTGGCCATGCGTGGGTGGCTCAGCTTCGCTAGGCACAGCTCATGGTTGCTTCTCGAGTGGACCCGAACAAAGGGCCTGAGACCACGCTGAAAAATACAGCGATGGGACACATGGCCACTAAGAACAGGTGCTTGCTGGAGCACCCTGCCAAGCACTAAAGAATTTGGCGCCATGAGGCACAAATGGCCAGATCAGGTGATTCTCTGATCTTCGCCACTTACAAGAACAAACCAGTGGGCCATAGAGCCGTGGCATCAGCAGACTGCCATTGGCCATCTGCATAATGGTATGAACATATGGAAAACTGCCGCGAATGAGGCAGTGAGCCTACGGTTTGCAGGCCACGCCATATCTTCAGACACCGGAGCCTACACATCCAGCACTTTGGATGGGAGAAAGCACTGCCACAGTGCTTCCTCCTCGGGCGTCACTGCCCTTAGGCCACCTGAAAACAGCTTTCGGCTCCATTGAGATCACTACAGCCAGGGACCGGGTCTCAACTGGGCAAACCATGCAACAGTCATGCAACGTCCTCGGAAAAGAACCGCTTGACCGCTTGTGCTTGTTGTGCAACCGACTTCCGTCGGGATTCCAGGATACTGCTGTGGCGAGAATCGCCGCTCTACCAAACGAAATCTGGGGGGAGAAGCACTCCAGAAAACATTGGGCAAACGAAGGTGGTTCAGGTAAAACACTGAAGTCTTACATTTAGATTTGCTGGTCGCAAGACTACGAGCAGGACGCTTTCCAGCAAAACTCGGGCGGCGGGCCGGTGAAGCCGCCGAAGTCGCTGCGCCGCACCTTTCGCAACACTGTGGTTACGAATGGCTACGGTTATGCGATTCTGTTCCGGTTTTCAACTCTACAACTTGGACATGCCGGGCGAGGTGCTTGAGCAGCGAAGGTCTCATCTTCAGAAGTCATCATCCGCAATGGCCCCTCCTTCCGCCTACTATCCAACAACCACAGCAACCAAAAGGGATGCGGGCTTAGGGCCGAAGACAGTATGATCGAATCTTCAAAGTACCACCGACCCTGATCCTAAACAGACTCTGTTCATTCGAACTGCGGCGACGAAGATCCTCGGATACACGAACACCCTGGCTGCGTTTTTTTCGGCGATTAGTTTAGTTGCCCTAGTCACTAGAATAGGGTTTTGGGAACTTTGCATCCAGGACTCTTGCAAGCAGCCGGGAAACTCCACAAGACAGCTAAAATGCGGAACCCTCAGGAATAACTCTTTAGGCTGTAGGCTTCTATGTCAGGGGTTGAAGCGGTTGCTCTTTTCGGGAAGAGAACCCAAAACAATTCAAGTCAGCACGTCAGCGAGCCCTTGTGGGTGGAGGCTCTCACTGGGGGGGATTTATGATGTTGGCCATCTTTTCGCTCTCAGGTTCCACAACCGTGGCTTGCCCTGTTATATATGTATATATATATATAGATATGTATTAGTTCCTTACTTAACTAGTTATTGGTTAAAAAAATTGCTTGTTAAATAATCAAGTATTTAACTAAATAATTACGAAATTGAAATTAATTACGTAAGTAATTGGATAAATTAACTAAAAAATTATTGGTAGCTCTACACCCCAAGCCCTACCTGTTTTTCCCACTGGTCACGAACAATGCATACTGTCTTTATACGTTGCTGATTGGCAAGATGAAGTAGACCAGGAACCCTCAACCGTGCGGCCCACCTCGCGGCCCCCGACCCGCACTTTGAGGCGATACCATTGCGACCTCTCGTGCATATATACGTGGGTGGTGCGTGCATGTGCACATGTGTGTGCGTGATGCATGCATGCATGCGTGAATGTGTCACATGGCAAATCTGTGCGTGTGCGTGTGTGCGCGTGCTTGTGTGCGTGTGTGTGTGTGTGTGTGTGCGCGCAAGCGCGCATCCGCGTGCGCGTGCGCTTCTTCGCGCGCGTGTGTGCGTGTGCGTGTGCGTG